AACGAGCTATCACAATTATCGCTTGCTATAGTTTTTAAACAAATAGAAATATTCACCTAACTTTTTTTCTTTTTTTTTTGGGCACATCACCTAACCTTTTTTATTTGTATCTATGTAATAATACACAGGCGATTGAAGGCAGAGGATTTTTTTTTTTTTGAAATTAAAAAAATGCTATATATAATCTTTTTTATTTTTATTTTTATTTGTTTCTTACTCATAGACACAAGTGAGAAATTCCATGTACATTTATTGATATGGTTTTCATTTTTTTGTATCCAAGAGTGAGAAAATGAGGAACGAATAAGATTATGTATAATATTACTCATTTATATATATATATATATGTGTGTGTGTATGGTATTGGGGCTTTGGGTATGTTTGATGCAGTTTTTTTTTTTTAAGTTGGAAGTAAATAATTAGAAAATAAAAATTAAAAACATACTTTTCTCATTTTTTTAATAATTAACTTTGTGAGATTTATCTAAATTATTTTTACCTTATAAATTATAAACAAAAGTTGCATTAAACACTTCCTTTGTCCCAACTAATCCTCTAAGCGCATCATACAGGGTAGGGGTGGGTATGGGACTAGTGGTTTGTCAAATCTAACTTGCTATTTTAAGAGCTTGAGATTTATATTTTAGGCCATAGTCGGACTCAACTGAAGTTTTAGCCCATTTATTATTATTATTATTTTAATTTAGAAATAGAAATTGAAACCCTGCCTGACCTGATTTAAATTATTATATATATCTTATATATATGTATAGGAAAATACTTGAGACTCCCTTTTTTGGAGACCCCTACAATCCTCTCTAGATCTTAACCATTGATGTATGTGTGGGAACCTCTCATGTATATGTGAGGCCCACACCATCAATGGTTGAGATCCAAAGGAGATTGTGGGAGTCTTAAAAAAAAAAGGGGGTCTCAATCATTGTTGATATGTATATATATTAGTTTGTATAATACATGATATATAATTCATTTAGTTTTTTATTTTTGTTTCAATGAAAACCAATTAAAGAATGTAGCTCTGGGATAGTCTATTCAGAATGTTGGAATGGTTATAAAATTCTGGATAAAACCAGAATTTTTCCTAAGTTCGGTCTATTTTTTAGGTGGGCCCCGAGTGTCGATTTACTCGGGTCAAAGTGGTAACGCATTTAACGTGGAAAAAACCACAATTGGACACCTCCAACTGTGATAAAAAAACCACGGGCAACAGCCACAAGACAATCCACTAAGAAGAATTAAAGGAATTACACAGGTATACTCTCAATTACCTAGCGAATCCACAACGCCTAATTGAACCAACCTTTATGTGCCTCTTCCAACCCCATCTTCACCACGGAATTGTCTTTCTGATGAGCCACTCTGGATTCTACCACAGCTTCAGGCTCGAATTCTTCAGAATACACAACCGAAGAACAACACTCTCTTTTGTATATATCAAACAAACCTTTGATGTACTCTCTTTAAATCATGAGTTGAAAACTCAATAAAAATATCAAAGAAAACAAACAAAATATCCCCAGATATAATCCTTAAGAACCAAAAAGAAGATCTGGAGGACTTCAATCAATTCACTTAGTTTTGGGAGAAAACCAAGTATTTATAGAGAACCAAAAGTAATCCAAGATTTGGAAGAAAACAAACTCCTTGAAAAATCCGGATTCTGAGGTTCGCTCGAGCGAAGCTTTTCTGGCTCGAGCGAGCAGTGTATTTTTCATGATTTCTACTAGTGCCTTGGCTCGAGCGACGGATCCTTGGCTCTAGCGAGGAATGCACTCTTTCAGGTTTTTGTATGGACGCAATCCTTGGCTCGAGCGCGCATTCCTTGGCTCGAGCGAGCAAGCCCTAGCTCGAGCGAGAATTCCTTGGCTCGAGCGAGCAACGACGGACATGCAATTTTGAATGCAATTTTGCATTTTGCTTCGGCCGCGAGTTGACCGGGCAGCTCGACCCCCGTAATAATCAGCGAAGTGGCAATCTTGAAAGTATTAACATCACAAACTTCTCTGCATAGTTCGATTCGGGTTTGGATTCGCATCTAATAAACTCATAGCCTCACTGAAATAAAAGTGCGAAAATAAATACATCTAAAAGGAATTTTGTCAAACGGGGTTGCCAAGAATAAAAACCTAACAATTCAGAATTGATAAACAGACACATGATGAGATCAAATTCATAATGTGGGTTGGGTTATTTGTATATCCATCTTGTAGCTTCTTTGTCATTAGACAGAAAAAAGGAAAACCAAGCATTTTTTTTTTATCCTTCAAACTTTACCAAAGCAAGCGCATAGACAGACACTTTATTCTCATTTTGCGGTCTTCTTTCTCAACATTGCTAAAGATGACACGTGATTTCATATTGGCACAGAGAGAGAGAGAGAGAGTGAAGCTTACCTTGGGCCATACGGAATCACATTGCTTTCAAAGCTTCCTTCCACCTCTTTTCATTTCATATTTCGAATGTGCATGTTGCTTTCAAGAAAAAAATAATATAAAAAAACAAACTCCCTACTGTGTGTGTTTGTTTAATTCCCTCTTTTTTCACCGTTTTTCTTCACAAACAACCAATAAGAACCAAAAGATGTGTTAAATGGAAGCTCTTATGATGACCCTATTGCTATTATGTATTGATAGGCTCCTCTTCATAAAGAGTGAACGAAAAAAAAGAAGAAAAAGTAGGCAAGTGGGGTATTCTTCGATTAAAAAGTCAGGGGAAGAACTAAAAAATTATATGATAGTCTGAAGATAACTGATTAGAAATGAGTTGAGTTGAGTAGATATGAGTTTTAATATGTTTGAATTTGTTCATTAAAATTTTAATAAATTTAACAACAATGTTAGAGGGTCACAATGGCTCAAAACTGTCAAAACGATGTCGTTTTGGCTCGTTTTGCACCCAAAACGACGTCGTTTTGGCAGTTTTGAGACCCAAAACGACGTCGTTTTGACAGTTTTGAGCCATTGTGGCCACAAAAATTGTGGCCCTCAAACATTTTCCTAAATTTAAACTTGAGTCAAGATTGAATCTGTTCACAAGTCTTAACAAATCAAAAAAATTATAAATTTAATATGAGACTAAAATTACAATTAAAACTTTGATTATATAATTATATAATATATATATATATAAACATATTAAAAGAAAATTCAACATTTTACCAAAATAATAATATCTACTGCCACTATTATATAAATATATTATCTATAGTTAGTTATTATTTACATTTACATTATTTAAATTTATAAATAACATGTTTTCCTATTATTGATACATATTTTTATGTTATTTAATATATAAATAATATATTTATTTTATTATTTAAATGAATATTAAACGAGCTGAGCTAACAAATCAAGTTTTAATATTCTTGAATTTATTTATTAAGTTTTTAACAAGTTCGAACTCAAATGTAAAAATTTAATAAATCAAGTTTAAACAAATTTTTACTAATCAAACTCGAGTCTGTTCACGAGTGGTCCTATTCATTTACAACCTTCCTCATGCCACATCATTTTCTTCAATTAGTGAGACTTTTAACATTTGTGTTGATTTTTACTAGTTGCCAACAAAACACAACTGGTTTGAATGTGTAGAAGTATATAGATGTCCATAGCATTGCTATATTTTAAACGAAAGCTAAAAGCTGAAATACTGAAATACCAAGTTTGGTTGTGTTCCTGTTCGTTTTACATATTTTTGAAAACTAAAACAGTGAAATATTCAGGGTGAATTAAACTTTGCACTTTGCCTTTTAGGTTTGATTCTTTTCATTTTAGCCTTTTATGTTTATAATTCTTCTCATTTTATTCTTAGACTAACTTCCATCTAAAAAAATAATAAAATTTATCGTATCTCTAACACATCAGCTCCATATGTGACGGAAATTTTTTTATTAAAGATGAAAAAAATAAAAAACAAAAAAAAATTGAAATTTCATTAGTGAACTTTTTCTTTTTCTAAATTTATTCATAAACATGATTACATTATAAATGCATCTAGATTAGATGCAGCAAGAAAAATAAAAACAAATTTAACTAAAAAAAGATAAAGTTCACTAAACATTGAAAAAAATGATAGTAAGTTTTTCATTTCAGAATTGATAATACATGTGTTTGAATCAGTATATTTTTATTTTTTTGTCTTTAGTAAACTTTTTTCTTTTTTTAGTTAAATTTATTCTTATTTTTTTAGTTACATCTAATCTAAACGCATCTATAATGTAATAATGTTTATGAATAAATTTGAAAAAAAAATTCACTTATAAGACAAAAAAAAAAATTCAATTTTTTTGTTTATTTTTTTTCTTTTGCATTTTTAGTGAATTTTTTACATCATAGATGCAGCTGATGGGTTAATGATGTGGAAGATTCTGTTAATTTTTTGGATAAAACTTAGTCTAGGAATAAAGTGGGAAAGATTGCAAATATAAAGGGTCAAAGTGAAATGAATTACAAATATAAAAAGTCAGTGAAAAAAATTAAACTTAAATGACCACAGTGAGAAAAATTGCAAACATGAAGGACCAAAGCGAAAAAAATTTAACTTAAAAGGCCAAAGTGAGACATAGATGAAACTTTAAAATGACAAAATGTAATTTATCCAAATATTCAGAACACCCATCGTTTCCATTTTTGGACAAAAATATTTTTCAAAATTCAAAATAACTTTTTTAATGTTTTCTAAAATGTGATTTGTATTAAAAAAAATTTAAAAACAGGTCACCAAAAAGTTTTCTGAGAAATAAAAGACAACTAGAATATGAAAATATAACCAAACAAGCATCTCAAAAGATTTTGGGCAGGACCAATTTTTTTGTTTCAGAAAAAAGGATCTCAGACCTAGGTAAATCTTTTTAGGCTGTGTTTAAATCATGAATTTGAATAGAAAATTGAAAATTAACACAGCCTAAAGTGAACTGTGGTGGCTCTACCATTTCTGAGACATTCTTTCTACAGGGACAAGGAGGGCTGCAAAATACATGCAAAGAGAAGAAAAATTTCTTGGTTTTTGAACTAGAAATTCCCTGGTTTCTCTCCTTTTCACATTTCTAAGAATCTTTCAAACATATATCCATCCATATCAATATTGAAAATACATATTATGACTGAGAAAACTGTGTGCACTGTTCTGCAAGTCTAAAATACATAAACATATCAGCAAAGTTAGTCTAATTCATTGAATAAACAGATCATGAAAAAACCTTAGATGCGTCAAAAGCAGCCCGCCAACCCCGCAGGAAGAGTCCGTTTCCAACTTTCCCTTCTTTGAAATTGTTTCTTTCTGGCAAATCACTTTGCTGGGTTTACCAACCAGAATTACACGTACAGCAGCAACACATGCTGAATGGATTCATCCTCAACTAAATTTACCGAGCTCCATCTTCTTCTTGATTGCCCTTTGACCATGATATATGAAGGAATCTAATATCCCAGAAACAGTGAAAACACCTGAACACAGTAGCCAGAATAAACATTCATGTATCTAAATGCAAACACGAGGAAGAATATCAGACGTGCATAGCATGAGCCTTTGAACTCTGAAGAAACACATTCAATTTCTTTAAGTCAACATGAAATATATATTCATTCATATCTAGGATTTCATAGCTAGATGCCATCATCATTCAGAAGACATGCTTGGGCTTGGGCTGCTGTGTCTCACTATTTAGAAAATTCCTGGTGCTAGTAAAGCCATGCATTTTTTACTCACAAGCAAGTAAAGAGAATGAAAGAGCATGACCAACCAACAAGCATACCTAGCCCCAAACCAAGCTTGGCCTTGTGTCCCAATCAAGTGGAGTAGGTTACATAAATCTTTTTCCACCATTCTACATGGGGTTGGTTTGGGAAGTGGCTTTTTGGCTAAAATATGAGGTGAAATAAACTCAAGTGTTTTGGAATGACTTTTTAACTTTTTTATGGAAAAACGTACAAAAAATAGAGAGAATGGGAAGAAATCTTTGACTTTCTTGTATGGCTTTTTGGCTTTTTTATGGCTTTTTCAGTGGCTTTTTAGCTAAAATATGAGGTGAAAAAATCTAAGGCTTCGTTTGGGAAGTGGGTTAGCTTTTTGGCTTTTTTGGCTTTTTTGACTTTTTTGTAAGAAAAAGAATGTAATGATTATGGATTGGATGTGATATTTTGTCTTATTGGGCTAAAAAGTCTATTTTGTTTTTTGTGGTTATTTTAGCCAAAAAAGCCTCAAAAACCACTTCCCAAACATAGGCTAAATATGTTCAAGAAGAATTTGCTGATTTTTTACAGAAAAAACGTGCAAAAAGTTGAGTGAAATGGGAGAAATCCTACTTTCTTGTATGAGTTGAAATCCTTTTGGCTCTTTAACTTCTTTACTGACTTTTTAGCTATATTAGCTTCTCTCTTGTCTTCAATGGTGTTACTCCTAACAATTTCGAAAATATTCATTTCTAATTTTATCATTCCTAATTTCCTAGTCTAATTTTATCTTTGTTGTAAAACATTTCTGGCCTTATATTCTACAAAAAATTTCTTTTAATTTTTTGATATTTGTCATCAATCACATAATATGCAAATGCACTCTTCCACTTGAGCCAACCTACTTCAATTTTATAGATCACATTAACTTCACTCCTTGTTATCTTTTGGTTTTAAATCTCTCACAATTCTATATTTCTATTGTCACTAAAGTTGCATTGTATCTATTCATTTTTATTTTTACTAATTTTAAACCCTTTTGACTCAGTTGCTTTTCTCAAAAATTCTAATTTAGTGATAATTCTTTCCTTAGTTTTATTTTATCCACTAGAACAATACCATCTACGAACAACATACGCTATGGGACATCATCCTAAATGTGTTTAATTAATGTATCCATGAATAAGGCAAATAGATAAAGATTCAAAGCCTGACACTTGATGCAACCCTATAGTGATTCAAAATTCACTAGTTTCATATGTGATCTAATTGTAGTCACCACTCCAACAGACATCTTTTGTTGCAACTTAGCCCCCAACCCATAAAAAAATGAAAAGGAAACTTTTGGTTACAATTATGCAGCAACATATGATAAGATTTTTAAATTCACAAATGAAAGGAATAGCATAGACTTCATCCATTTAAAAAATTGAGAAAAAACACTCACCCTAGAATAACAACCAACTAAGAAGGTAATATGTTGTGTTCGACATCAACATCGACATGATACTCATTGGACACTTCCTAACACTATATATGAAACACATTTCAAGTTTGAATAAAATGACTTGTAATTCAATGATATAACAAAATATATATAAATTTATACTAATTTTCCTCATTTAGACTAAAAAAATTATTACCTTTGAATAGATATTTATATATATGTCATAAAATAATTATTTAGGAGAACTTATATGTAAGTCCTAACAAGTGAATTTATTGTCCAATAAATCCTATGATAATTAATGGCGTTTTTCATTAAACACTACTAAAAACCATCATTAATTATTAATTTTTAGCAATAGTTTGAAAATTTTGTCACAAAAATCGTCACTGATTATAAGTTTTAGCGACAATTTTAAAAAATCATCACAAAAAAAAGTAATTCAATGTGTTTGGTTTGAGTTTTTTGAATTAAATTTTTTGAAAATAGAGTTTTTTGTTTTTCGTGTTTTTTTGTTTTTAGTGAATATTTTTAAAATTTTAAATAACTTTTTTTAACTTTTTTAGATGTATCTTACTTAGATGTGTCTAAAAAGTAAAATGTTTGTGAAAAAATATTTTAAAAAATTAATAAATACACAAAAATAAGAAAAATGTACTAAATTTTCGTTTTTTTTATTGTATTTTTGGTATTTATTGAATTTTTAAAAAAAAAATTTCACAAAAATTATATTTTTTCAGTGTATTTATGTTAAGTGTGTCTAAAAATTAAAAAAAAAATCAATAAAAACAAAAAAATACGGAAAACAAGAAAGTAAAATTTTCTGAAAAGTGTTTTTAAAAAACTCAAATCAAGCAGAGTGATTAATTTTTAACTTTCAGCTATAGTTTGAAAATTTTGTTACAAAAATACATCACTAATTGTAAGTTTTAGCAACAAATTATAAAAATCGTGATAAAAAAAGTCACTAATTGTTAATTTTTGCAACATAAGCAAAAAAATATCACAAAACTTTATTTTTAGCAATGATTTTACTATGAATACATTTCAACAGGACTTTTAATGGGAATTCAATTCAACTATTAGGACCTATTGGTAATTTTTCCAATTATTTATCCTTATATATGACATAATAAATATATATAAAATTATGTACTTTGCACATGCCCATACGTGTCATGTCCTATACTTTTGGAAAATTTCCATATCGTCATGTCCATGCCGTGTCACATGTCCATGCTTCTTAGACAAGCAATGCAAGTGAAAAAGTAACGTAAAACATATAAACCCCGCATGCAATAACAATGTGTTATTACTATATATATTTGTTTGGAGAGATAGAGAGAGAGAGAGAGATAGATAGATGATGTTACCTCCAATTATAGCACAGACATTTGTTAGGAAGTGTAAAAACGAAATGTGTCCCTCAGTGAAAGTCACCTGTACCATGAATCACAAAAATAATTAACGTGTAATTATGCATCCATATAGTATTTGTATCTCATCACCACCCCCCAAGAAAAAAAAGAAGAAAAAAGAAAAGCCTTATTGGGCAAATTTCAAGCATTTCACATCAGTAAGTGCGTGCTTAAACATAATGAACTAAAATACATCATACTGGGAAATCTAATCCGTCAACAGCATCATCAGCATTTCAACAGAGTTATTAAGACATGGAACCTGCTTATGTAACCAATGGCCAGGGAACCCACCTTGATAGGCGAAAGGTCATAAAAGAAGAAAACTCCAGGAAGGGACAGAAGGCGACCTGCTTCCGCACTCCTAAAATGTTCAGTTACAGAGAACTGCATGGACAATGGAACAAATGCTAGTGAGATCATTTCAATGTTCAATAAGACATAAGCCTGAGAATGATTACTCTTATGTGATAATCAAACCTGATTAGATTGGATAGTGCGTCCACTGACATCCGTGTATACAGTAGGTACCACCTGTAGAACAGATAGCATAATTTTGTAAATATACAGAAGAGCTGAATCTAAGTGATAAGCTACTTTCGTTCTCTTCTTCATTCATAGCCAAATCAAAAAATGACAAAAGCTATAGACGGCAACATCTGATGGAGGTTGTACAGTGCTTAATTGGTTTCAGTCCCTCCTTGAGCTTAACAACTATCAAATCATCTGGATACTAAAATTGGAAAATAAGATGTGGGAGATTTGTTTTCTTTTAAGTTTTCAACATTCTATTCATTTCTTCTTTTGGTGACATGCAGTACATGAATGATTCCTTAGCCATAAGCAATTATTTATTTCAATGTTAAATTGTTGTGCCCGTTGCTCCTCTGGTTGGGCAGCAAGCCTACAAGATAAGGTATACTACATGAGCTCAACTCACAAAAAGCTCTGCTCACTTACTAGCACAGCTCAGTTGTGCTTGAGTTCAGATTTTAACATTGTCACTAAAAAGACCTCAAGCTCAACCAGTTAGCCAAGTCTTGCATCACGAACTCTTTTGGTGTTTATAATCCTGAGAAGGACAACTGAAGACAAATATTTAATTGCAATCCCAGACCCTTCTTACAGCATTCTGAGCTTGTCTCTTGAATAATAAAGAAAACAAGGAGGTGTTAACAGGGAAGACAGTACTAGGTGTTAACCCAATCCATAACAATAGAACATAAGAAAGAAATATGGGAAGGAAATTTCAACACAGATCACTCATTGAAAATCATCCATACATGGCCTGCAAACTCATTCAGGGTTATTGAAACTATGCCCATGAATACCATTTTCTACAAGCCTTTCCAGAAGCTTTCACAGAATACAAGCTTGGTCAAGCGCTTATCTAATGGAACATGGGAAAGCTCAATCTGCACTAATCACCATTTAAGGCACAAGATGACTTCAAGCACGTTGGCAATGTGACAGTCAAGACCAGGTTCCACGTTACTCATGAGGCACAAGATGGTTTACAGCACTATGTCTTATGGACAGACATCAGGGAATGGCTATGAACTTCGCTAAGCATTTCTACATTCATATTCCTACAAACATATTTCTCTATTACTTCGTGCAGTTTTCCACATATGCTTTTCTTTTTCCCTTATTTTTACTTTTTTCATGCTTCATGCCTTGAAATTTCTCCTAGCCTAGTGAAAGCATCAAGTGCCTGAACTCAGTGTTGTGAAAGGCGCGCTTAGGCGCAAGGCGCGGCTGTTGCAACTGAAGGGACCCAAGGCGAGGTGAGGTAGATGAGTCGCACGCCTTGGCCGAGCCTTGGGTTAGGTGCAGAAAGGCGCAAGGCAATGCCTAAGCGTGCCTTCGTGTATTTTTTTTTTCTTTCTTTCCCCTGATGCTGATCTAATGGCTCTGATATGAGTTTATGAGTTTGAAAGGGTCCAACAACCACATACGATTACAACTCATACAACTCAATACCCAAATCAGTCGACTCCTCAAAGCCCTAAAATCTATCAAAGAAAGCTTGAGATGTTGTGACTTAGTCTGGGCTCATCGCGACATCTCCTCTCCCTTTGGGCTCATCGCGAAGAAAGCTTGAGGTGAGTCTTCTTCTTCTTTTGCTTCGCTGTGCTGCTTCGATTCAATTTTTTTTTCTTGTTGCTTCTTCATTGCTACTGCTTCTTTGCTGTCGTCTCTCTGTTGTTTCCTTCTTCTTCTCCTTCTCCTCTTCTTCTTTGCTGGGTGCTGTCATATCTCAGTTTTTTTTTTTTTTTTGCTGCTCCTTCATCGCTGCTGCTGCTGGGGATATCTTCTTCTTTCTCTTCTTCTTCTCCTCCTCCTCCGCCTCCTCCCTCCTTCCCTCCTTCCCCTTCCCCTTCTTCGTTGCTCTCTGTTCTTTTTTTTTCTTCTTTTTTTTTTGGCTACTGTTGGTCTGTTTTGTTTCCTGTCTTTGTGAAGGAAAAATAAATTACAAATAATATGACCTAACCTACCATTTCTTATGATATCAATGTTTTGAAATGTTAGGACTTATATTAGTATTTGTTGGATATTTATGTTTTGGATGTTAGTGTTTATGTTTTTATTTTTTATTTTTTTTTGTTTGAACGTGGATTATTTTATCTTTGAAAATTGGAATGCTATGTAATATGCACTTTCATGATTTTGAGAATTATTCTATAATTTGTCTTGATTACTTCTTATTTTTTTAAAAAAATTGTCTTAGTATTGTGAATGATTAGTCTATGTTAATTTATTTATTTTTTACTAAGACTGTGAGCCTCAATAAAGCCCGTGTCTTGCCTTGCGCCTAAGCCCCAAGAGACCTTCAGCACCTTCGTGCGCCTTGAGCCTTTAAAAACACTGCCTGAACTCACGCTTTGGTTACTAAACCACTAATTTGCAAATGTACCAAAAAAAGAACATCAAGACCTAAATATATGGTGACTATTTCCTTTTGAAAGAATACAGGAAGAAGGAAAAGAAAAGACACGTACGGTGACAATTTGGAGAGAATACTTTAGCTACAATTAGTGGAGAATACTAACCTTGATAAAATATTGATACATCCCACTTGGTGATTCTTGTGTCCATTGCACACTGTAAGTTTAAGCAATAAGAAATAAAAAAGATGTGCCAAGATATGTGATATAGCAAAAAACCACGCCGCACAGTGAATGCATGTTAGACGAGAATGAAAAAAATACCGGTCAAGAGGATTCACAACACCAGGGAAATATTCTCCAAAAGTTAATCTATTGATCTTGTGACTTATCTGTATCGCATCACATAATTATTTATTTAAGAGAAACAGCTTCAACAAGTGAAAAAGGAAAGCAGATTACAAACACACATTACAATGCTAATGCTACATATTATACATCTAGGATGGGAAGGAACTTAAGGAACCAAGATTTATCTTACATTAAAAGTATCCTTCTGAAAAGCTAACAGATCGTGCACATGAACACCAGCTTGGTGAAAACTTTTGCCAGGTGCAAAGTGGAAATTTCCAGCCACCTTATTAACTTCCAAGAACCCATATATATTACATCCTTCACCTTCTTCATCTTTAATTCGTTGTAGAAAACCTTCTCTTTTGCACTGATCATGACATGTAAATTCAGAAAAATCCATAATATAATCAAGCTCAAAGTCATGATGAAATATTGCAAACCATCCATCCAGCAAGCAAAACCAAGACATAAGGGCATATCTACCATTTACCTTTTCCAACAAGAGGAAAAAGTTCCATTGCAATAGCTAATGTTTTACTTGAATGTTTCACAATAATTATGGCCAAGTGATGTAGGACGAGTGCAAGTAATACTTTTCTACAAGCACTAGGCCTAACTTTAGCCTATAGCAGCGGAAAAGTAGGGTTTTGGCCCTGATTTGAAATTGTTTTTAAAGATTGGAAGGGTGAATAAATATTGGGATTTTAAAAGAAGAAAATGAAAACACAACCAAACCGGCCCTTGGGGTTCCAAAAGGTGCAACCAAAAGGGTAGGGCCTTGAGAGCAAGAATATGAGATTTTGGGGTCTGTTCTGGGCAAGGTTCTAAAAAGCGGTTGCGGTGGCCGTAACGGTGGAGGTGGCGTGGTTGCGGTTGCGGTAACCGGAACTGTGAATTTTTTTATTTTTCACACAATTTGAAAAAAAACTTACCAATAGGCATATATTTTTTTCCATAATCATATTTATGAGGTTTTAAAATAAATATTGATCAATTTTTATAAATTTTTAGTATGATCCAGTATATTTCATATTTTAAAATCACTATAAATTGAGTTTTTTACATTTTATTTTAATAATTAATGACTTTATATGTCATAAATCCATATTATGCCTGTGGCAAATTTTTTTTTTTTATCGGAGTCAGATGTATAAAATTATTATTTTTAATTATTATACTTGTGGAAGTATATGCAAATTTTAATTTGAATAGTTGTAAAAAATAAATTATACATGCCAATGTAATCATATAAAAATTAAAAAATAAATTATGAAGAAATTTTTTTTTTGGGAATTTGAATCACTTGAATATTCATTATCTTTTTGAATAACTAGTAAATAAAAATAAAATTAACTAATCAAAAAAAATTGACATGTATAAAAAATGTATTAATATATAATTATAGGTGTTATGTTTTCTACATATTTTACAAAAAAAATCAATCACTAAACAATGACAAAAGTACAAAAAAAAATAATAGCCTATATATATATATATATAAATAGATAATGACCACACTTATTATTATTATTATTATTTTTTTTTTTTTTTTTTTTTTAGAAAAAAGACACACTCAAACAAAATGGTTGAGTGATAGCAGCTGAATAGAATAGCATAGGTCTTCAACTTCAACAAATCATAACATGTTCTTCATCTTCCCTCTTCTCTCTCTCTTTATCTCTTACTCCTCCATCTTCTCCCATTTTTAGATTTTTTTTTTAATTTTTTAATTTTTTTAAAAGAATAGTTTGGAACCGTTACGACACCGTTACGGCAGCCGCTACGACTGACACACCTGTGAATCTCAATCACACCGCAAAAGTAGCCGTAACGGGTGGCAGTAACCACCACAACCGTTACGTAATGGTGTTACGTAACTGTTACAGTCGCTTTTTAAAACCTTGGTTCTGGGGTTGTTCCTGCACTGTGAACAGTAACCCGTGAACAAGAACATAGGACTGTTTTGTGTTCTCCTAAGTACTAGGCTTGAGCCATTGTGATGGATGGGCAACAAATTAGGGTTATGCAACAAAATTTCTAGGGTTGGGAAAGGTTTAAAGCAAATCAGAAACAGGAGTATTGTAGATCAGAAACACACAAAAAATATAAATAAATATATAAAAAGAAAGAAGAATAAAGCTACACTTCACCTAAGCTGTATCTTTCTTTCTCTGTCACGGTTTCACTTGGTCTAGTTGTTTATAGCCCGCTTCAGCACATGGTGGCAAGTGTTTATAATATTTGGTGGCGAGTGTAATTCCAAAGAGAGTTGTGTGATGTTTTCCTACAGATGACTGACTTGGGAAATTTGAGAGTAGACAAGAAATTTTCCAGAGAGCAAATATAAATTCCGCTGTGCTTGATGTGCACAACTCATTATATTTCAAAATATTACAAACTTCTTTGAGGCTGTGTATATTAGGAATTCATTTCATCCATACATGTGAAGGGCTCATGCACACTTTCTATAGGGCAGCTATGCTGAGAAATTACACAATCATTGTCTTAAGCATCCTTACATCTTGCTAGAGATTCTACAAAGTTAGAAGCATGTTAGCATAATAACTTATCAATTATCAAAATAGATTCATGCATATAGACATATAAACTTGTAAGATTTTTTCAGATATATATGTAAGTAAGATTTGGAAGGAAGCTAAAGTCAGTTCACCGATCAAACAAAAATTTCAGTCATTTTCAAGCATCAGAATGGTCTCACATGCAAATAGTTCAACCCCAATGATAAAAACAACACCCACACATCAGCATTTTAATATATGGCAACGATGAGAAAATGGAGTTGCACTTCACAGCATCACACCAATGAATAACATCTAGGTTGTGCATTGTGCTTCAAGTGATCTTGTGCCCCACGAAAGGAGGCTGTCTTAGGAATATGCATGGCAATAAAACAGTATCTTTTGAGAAGAAGGAAAAAAACTAGCAGACCTGATCAATCATATCTGGATTTGATATCGCCCAACCTTTCTTTCGATATGCTTCACGAACATCTTCACAAGAGTTACAACAATCATTATCTGACTGCAAAATAGCAAGAAATGGGATTATCCATAAGCAACAGAAACAGGAAGCTTCTTTCCTGAATGAGTTGAATTTGTTCTGCAGCATAATATAATGGAAACCAAAACCAGAGGTGCAAAATAAATAAATTTTGCTTGCTTACTAAATTAGAAAAAGCTATATAATGAAAATATAAAAAACCCAAGATTTTTATCATAGCTTGACCAAAGCAGGTAAATGTTTAAATTAACTAAATTTTTCAAAACTTTTGTTGCAAGGATAGTGCCCTGAGAACTGTGTACTGATTTATTGAAATTACCACATCAACATGTGCCTATATTGTGTTGTATCTGTGTCCTGTATCTGTATCCTTGCTAGGAATTATAAGAGGTTCCTCCAAAGTAAATTGGTGTTTATTCCAAATTAAATCTTTAAACAAATTAACTGAATAGGTCTAGCTCAACAATCCATAAGCTCTTATGTAAATTATATATATAAGCTTCATAATCAAACATTTAGCCAAGCATCAACACACGAGGCCATAGAAAAGCATACCGCTTCTGCACCATAGCATGAACCACAGTATGTCTCATTGTGTTCAAGTCTTCCACCATGTCTTTGTAAAGGCTTTTCAATCTGTGCCGTTTATAAAAAGTCAGTATAAACATAAGGGAAAATATGAAAACCAAAAAGAGCATAAAAGGAATATAATTTCATTATTAAGCATTAAATTATGAATGATTTAAAAGTGGCTGCACCACAACCACAACAATGCTGCAGGAAAACGGAGATAGTTTGACACGTTGAACATAATGTCTCAATCAAAATGAGGCCCCTTTTGCATAAGAATCTCTCGTGAGTTTTGAAATGGCATTCATGGATAATGCTACATATAGGCATTTCTTATAACGAGAGACTAGACATTTCTAATGTGCCAAAGCCATTGCAAAATGTAGTGCAAAAAGATATGGAAAAAAGACTCACTATAGTACGCAAACAACTGGTGGATTTCAAGAACTATTTATACTGACCTTGGGAGCACCAATACCCTCCTGCCTTTCTTCTATTACATTACCATGAGAATCAATTCTTTTCTTGAATATGTCATGTTTCTGCAAGCAGACATAAAATTAAATGTCATTCAAAGTGAATGCAAGCGGTTAGCCGTGTTCAGGTTAAAATTGTGGTGTAAATCTCCACTAGAGTTTGATTGATGCTGTTCTAATTCACCTCACTCTTTCCATGCCTCCATATTTCTTCTATTAGCATGATGTTCTATACCTCAGTTGGTTAACTTGAATAGTACAAAGGTGTGGAAGGTTTAGTACCCATAGGCCGTAACCAAATATGTAACATGCAGTGCAATGAAAGCATCCCTTTATGCATCTTCAATGCAAGATAACATGAGAAATTCAACCATCGTGAAAACATTGATGGTTGAGAGAGGGTAAATTTATGGCATATAGTTTTGGGGGTAAAAAGAGAATTTCATGACAAGATTAGAGCAAACTTTCTGTGTATCATATATAAAATTGCTTTGCAATACATACAACGTCAAGATGTTGCTCGCCACTGATATCTATGGCATCAAGGCTGAGTATGGAACATGGAAGGGCTGGAAAAGTGACATCAAACTGCAATTTCCAACAGAGCACAGTTAATGTATAAATTATTCTAACACAATAAAATCAATCAGTTAAAGAGGACAATTAAGGTGAATCAAACAATTATATATTTTCCACAAAAATACTTCATAAATATAGAGTGTGGACAAACACTTTCAATGGTGGTACTATGGAACAACTACATGCTTTGGTTATTTAAATGCAAGGGTAACATTGACCATCCCCGATGTTTGAAAAAATATATTAAGCCCCATAAGTTTGGTATAATTACAATAACTTCCCTTTTAGTAATGCTAAATTGGCCTGAACTAATATAGATGGTGTGTATAAAAATTTACTTTAGTGTAAGAGAGATAACATCTTTTTTTTTATCAATACAACTAATAAATGATTGATGAAAAGGGAACAAAGTGTTATGTGAATTGAAATCTTAATGAAGCACAATGTAATTATGCCAAACTGGTGGGGCTCAGTGTATTAATTTCAAACATAGAATTTACCCTAAATGCAAATATTATCAAAATCCAGAAAAAAGAGAAATAAACAGATTCTTTCAAAAAGTTAAAATTCAGAATCATGAGTGCCAGGAGTAAATCCAAAATCCATCTAAAATGGTTGCAGTAGTCTCGAAGAAACTTTCAGTAAAAAGATAAAAGAACAAAGCAAAATATCTCCAATTGATAAATTACATCAAAACATTCTATAGAAAGAGAAGTAGATATTACATTAATACGTAGGGTTTCTCCTCTTGAGGTATCTACCACCAGTTGCGTCTCAGTGAAAGCATGGAGATATAATCCTGCAAAGAAACAGAAATACATTGATAATCAATAGCAATAAATTACCAATAACCAAAACAAGCATGCAATTTAACAATCAATAAAGCAAGGAAAACAAAAGGGAGGAAAGAACCAATAGCATATTAGGAATGAACACTAAGATGTAAAGGCAGCCATAGAAATGCAGTAACCATACATGCAAGCATTATAACTGCAGTGCAAAGGTGCAGTTGTAGGAGAACATCCTACAAGCAAATAAGGGCACTTTCAAGCACATGTAATCATAAAATTGCCTGTTTCCCCAACCAATAAAAATTGCCATGTTTTCCAACTGAAATATGACCTCCTTAATCAATCATAATGAGTCTAGTTGCATATGATTTTGGTAATTGATTAAGTGTTTCTCAAATCTTAATTCAAAATCACATGATCAAATTAATCCTTTCAATTTCCGAACTCTCAATCTATTTATTGGTTGTCTTTCCTTGACTAAGAATGTGCTTAGGTTCATGTATTGCAATTTAAGCATATAACTCATCTCATATGAAACATTCAAATATAAGTGCAATGCAAATATTAAAGAGAAAAATAAATAGATTTATAGTGGTTTGGTGGCTTGCCTATGCCCACTCGCAGTCTCGGCGTTAAACCACTAAACAAATGGATTTTCACTAGGGAACCCAAAACCTTTACATCCCCTTCTTGTTCAATGGTTTTTACCAAGATGGCCCTTAAACCTTTGCCACAAACATACAATCGGTTTAGCCCACCCAAAACCACAAACTCCACAATACATACCTAATACTTAGGAAATAGGCTTAATGGGGAACCAATACAATACCGTTAAACCTTTGTTGTCTCCACGTGAGGTTACTGCGGTGTGTGTTATAATATTGCATATTCTACACTAACGCTATGTTTGGTTAAGAGATTTATGAAGGAATTTGAAAAAGGAAAGGGAAAATATATGTGAAACTATGGCTTGGTTTGGCATAACCTACAATAGCCAAAAAGCCAAAAAGTTACTAAAAAAGTCAAAAAAGTCCATACTATTTTATGTGAAATGTAAATTTATTTTATTCATATTTCACTTACTTTTTCCCTTTCTCTTTTTAAATCCCTTCCCAAATCCTCCAACCAAACACAACATAAAAGAATTAGTATTATACCTTCCAAGAGCAAAGAACTTTGAGATTCCCTTGGAGCAAGCACTTTCAAATCTTGTATTAAGATATGAAGGCTACACTCTCTATCCAAGGTAGGATTTACACTCAAAACTCAAGATGAGGGTGTATAAGAGTCAACATAGCTCTAGGTGTCTTTTTCTCATCAGAAAACCTCAATTGGGAGTATTGAAGTATTTATGGCCAAGCCTCCAACAATTAGTTCAACAACTATATTTTTTAATTTTGTGCAAGCATGGTCAACTATATGATGTCATGATTGACCATCAACCACTTAGGCTCTTAAGACCAAACCTCCACTGTGGTTAACCACATTCACCAGAATGGTCAACCATACTGTGGGTTTTTGACACATCTCTCTGAACCATCTTGTGGTTGATCACAGTCCTCAACGGAAAAACGTAGACTTACCTAGCCCTCTCTATCCTATTTTGGGGTTTGCCTTGTCTAATCCTTCTTTTTGCTAATGAAGCTCTTCCATAATACTCTTTTGATGCAAGTGAAAATCTTCCATTGCACTTCAAACTTTCAAAGTGTGTTAGACACTGGCACTCGTAGGACACACACATCCAAAAATGTCTTATTTATGATGCATTTTTTTAAAAAATAATCTTTGAAATTGAATGATATATGCATATACATGATATATAATAAATATATAAAATTGTATATTTTGTCATTGACATGTTGTGTCTTGTATTTTTTGGAAAATTATCATGTCGGCGTCTCATGTGTCTATGCTTCTTAGATTGAAACATTAAGAACCACATAAAACTGCCCTAATTACCTTGTCTAACAAAAGAGTTGTCAATACAAGCAAAGACAGAGCAAGGATTTTGGGCTTGTTTGGTTTGTATTTGAGAAACATGTTTTGAGATAAAAAGTACGAAAATTTGTTTGGTTTGATTTTTTTTCAAAAGATGTTTTGAAAAATTATTTTGAGAGAGAGTTTTGGAAAAAGTGATTGATTTGATGTGTATGAGAGAGAGATTTGTTTGGAAAACTTGTAAACCAAACAAGTTTTGGAAAAAAAATTTGGAAAAATTTATTTGGTTTGATTACTTTTGAAAACTTATTTGTAGAGAATTTTTCTCAAAATTTTTTGAGAAACACAAACCAAACAAGGCCTTTATCTTTGAGCTTGAGACCTGTGTTACTAGAAAATGCTAATACTCTAGCGAATTACGTATTGATGCGCACACTAAGAAATATGGTACACTTTCGTTCCAAAACAATAAATTTTGCAATTCCAAAAGTTTTTTACAATATATTTCTTTAAATGTTACTTTAGGAAGGAAAAAATCAAATATAATGAATTAAAATCTAAGCTGAGTTAAATTTTAACAAGACAAAAATATCAAAAATAAGTCATAATGTTCATAGAAATGTTTGCTACATAACCAAATCTTTATTTTTATTTTATTTATTATTCTTATTATTTTTTACAATTATTGGATACATAATAGTTTTTTAAAAAAATTACTCTAGAAGTACCTTAAATTCTTAAGTTTAATATATACAAGTTTACCCCTATCGTACTACATTTTAGAGCATGTGGCATACCGTGTTCCTATTGCATGTACTACAACGATCCACGTTCCAGGTAACATAGCTCGAGACACACTCGGAAAGTTATCCCCAAATAGTTTAAGAGCGGACAATAGCTTGGGACAAATTCAAAAACCAAATCCTCAAATTCATACAAAACTTTTATACCATCTGCTGTGGCTTAAATGATTCTCCATGATTGAGCTTCCCATAGAATCTTTCACACACAAAGCACTTGCCTTATTCCAATGCAATATTGACACTAGCAATACTCATCTAAAACAGAATAAAATGAACAATATTTCGGCACCACAACACTCATCCAACCCAGTAAACTAATTCTAGTCAAGCATTCTTGAAACACAAACCTAAAATTCCAAATCAACCAAACCTAATCTGGTCATGAAACATCCCAAGTCCAAAACCTAGCACACCCATACTTGAATTTTTGGTTGTAAATTAGCCAATACCCATAAAAAAAACAGTTCTACTGCCAACAATGTTGTGCCATAGTTTGTCTATGATTCTTATGAATAGCCAATAAAATGTTCATATAATCAGAGTCCAAAATGCATAATTAACAGGAAATCAACCTAACCCTAATCCATACATACACAATTATAAATGTATACACACACACACACACAGAGAAGGGGCAGGGGGACAAACTGAGCTCGGAGATGAAGAGGAGAAGCATGACGATGGAGGAGACGAGGGTGATGACGCCGCCGGAGAGGGTTCTGCTGTAGAAATCCTCATTGATCTTAGGGTAGGCGTCCAAACTCCGAATCTTGCCCATTATAGCGTCCATCTCCTCGATTTGCTATTAAATTATCTATACCTAGCCTATGAAAACTCGATCAAATCTCAAAACACAAATTGCAAAAACTAAAATTGAATCATATATAGGTTTAAACACCTCGTTGAATTAGAATTGAACGAGGTGTTTAAGAGAGTGAGAAACCAATCAAGCTTCTCTTTTCCTCACTCTCTGTCTCTATCTATAGATGATGTCGTAATCTAATCTGAACGATATGTATATATATGGATATGGATACGTGAGAAAGAGACAGAAGATGGTCGCCGGAGAATAGCGTCAGCTCCTTTTCTTCCGCAGATGAAATCTACGGTCTACGGTTTTGTATCGCTTCGGTTTTGCCGACTTCATTCTTTCTCGTATTTATTTTTATGCCCTCGTTTTTACTTTATTTCTAAAGAAGGCTGAGTTTGTGACCTTTATTGTCCATGTGGTTTGAAAAATTATAAATAATTTTTTATCAAAATTTTTATTTAACAAAGTTAATTAAAAAAAATAAATTTCTTAATTGCTCTTTGTACGGGGAGCAAATATTCATGCAAGCCCGCATTCCTTTCTTCCAAGCTCCGTTTCTGTCCGATCACCTGAAAGCACAATGTGGGTGAGCTACCCGGCGATGTGTGGCCGGAAAACCCCTCCGACGATCTAATTAACACACATCTTAGGATAAAGAGAGAGAAAGCGGAGTGTGAGAGTGTAGGAATTCCTTACAGAATGTTCGTCTCTCTGCGCATGGGGGGCGCAGACATGCTTATATACCCTCTGCGCCCCATATCCACTCCCAGTCATCTCCTGACACGTGGCTCCGCTATCCCATCTGTCAGCATAAACCTTGCTGAACATTACCTAATCTCAACTGCCTGCCTTCTCAGCTAGAGCTCGGCAGCCGAGCTTCTCTATCTACGGTCGTGCTGTGCTTCATACCCAAGCACTTCACTGGCTAAGCCCAAGGAGGACCGGGCTAGAGGGCATCTTGGCAAAGCCGAGCCCGGGGCACCTCCTGTGGTCGGCCTTCCTGTCGATCAAACGATTACCTCGGCTGACCACGCCTTTTCGGGCGCCGGTCGTTCAGCTTGACTGGCTCCACCATCGCCTGATCAAGCAGCTCGGTCCAACCGAGCACTGCCTTGCTGGGCAACTTCTTTCCAAACTGGGCCACACATCCTCGGCCCAACACTTGCCCGACCCAAATCTGTCCGGCAAAACCCTGTCTGGCCTAGATCTGTCCGACCCAGTACCAGATCATTAATCTCCCTCTCAATTGCCCCTTAATTCCGTCCGCGCGAGCGTGACTGGGATTACCTATACTTCGACCGGGGTAACATTTCTTCGGTCTTCAAAATGCCAAAGGACGACCGGGCTAGTTAACATTACTGTCTGCAAACTTGCCCGGTTATACTCCTCGGCTGACGTCTTTTTCTTTGAAGGTAGCCCGGTTGGCTCTTCGACTCTTCAACCTGTCTCTTCTGTTCTGACGTCGCCATAAATAGGGACACGTGGCAGGCTGCCATTGGTTCTCGAGCAGTCAACCCGCCGTTTTGCTAGAATTTGAATTTGGGCGGTCTCTTTTGTCTATACATACAAGACCCTTCGTCCTCATTTTCCTCCTACTATCTTTCTGCAATCCGACTCGCCAGAGCTCTATCATCTTCCTCCAAGCCCCGCTTTCCATTCTTTGCGTTTGTGCTCGAAGGAAAAGTAATTGCCTTTCACTGGTAAGACCTTCAATCCCTCTTTTGTTGCTATCTTCTTTAATATTTCACATATTAGGGTACTAAAACTTAGCTCTTAGGGCATAGGCCATAGAAACCGTCCCAAACCTCCTATTGTTCTTGGTGTTCTTTATTTTCGCTGATGAACCTCGAAGAACTGGGGCGGACCGGGCTCCAGGTCTTCGTTTGATCCAAAAACCATATCGACCGTGCAGATAACCTGTTAGAATCAACCGCATCGCTAACCGGGATAACAAAAGGAATTGGCCGCTCAACAGGGCTAAAATCTGGTCTGCTTGGGCGACCGAGCTCCTTAGTTAGCTTAGGAAACCGAGGTGGTTTGGCACTCTTCATGACCGAGCTAAAGAAAAGCTCATTTTGCGCGACCTCGCTCACACTTACACTTGTCATCCTTTTCCTGCAGAGTCTAAGGGGACCACTGTCCATTCCTCAGGCTCTCAAGACCGAGCAATTACTAATTGCCACTGTGCCAAACACCTCAACCGAGCTACCTTAGTCCGGCCACAAATGGGGAAATTCAGCTTCCTAGTGGATACTCCGGCCGCGCTAGCTGCGTTCAGAGAGGAGTACGGCATCTCGGCCGACGTCCATCTCGAACTGGCTGAAGAGGAGACAACACCCTGGGGCAGACTAGACCAATGCCCCTTCACCGTGCTGTCAATCGTCGAAGGAGGCCTCCGCTTCCCACTAAACCCACTTATCACCGAGTTCCTCCGCCGCACCGGGCTAGCACCCACACAAGTGTCTACCAACACTTATCGAATTATCAACGGCGTCCATGAACTGAACAATCGGCTAGGCACCAACTTAGGTCTAGCCGAAATATTGAGGCAATACACGATGGGTCACACTGGTGACGGCCTAGCCTATTACTTGAAAATCAGACCGGGCAAGGAGAAAATTGTAACCGGCACCCCGGATAAAGATTTGCACGACGACGATTTTTTCTGGGTGCTGGGCAATTACGAAACAGCCGAGGTACCGGGCTGGTTTATAAGCAAGAACTTCGGTTCCTCATGTAAGCTGCTCAAACTTGTTCGGTCAGCTTACCTCTTTATTCTGTAATTAACCGGTTTTCCTGTTTCTTTTGCAACAATCCAAGCCTTGCAAGCCAACTATCAATTTCCCAACGTAGAGGCAATTCGGACCGTGCTTCGCTATTCCCACCGAGATTGCAACGATTTGCTCAGTTACACCCCAACCTACAGGTACTCTGCTCCGCGCCGGAGTAAAGTAACAGACTTCCTCCGTGCTCCTTTGCCACCTCCAGACCCTATCCTTCCTGACGTCCCCTTAATTTGGTTGACAGACGAACAAGAAATGGCCAAAAGAAGCCAAATCAAAAACCTTCTCACTGCAACCTCGGCCGAGATATCGAGCGTCGTCGCCCGCTCCCCGGCTGCCGGTCAATCAAGTGCCGCCATGGTCATCTTAGCTTCTCCAGCCGCCGGGCAGTCTAGCCAAGAAACACACCGGGCTGGCAAAAGACCACGGGCAGATCCCTCTGCCGAGCTCGTCGCCGAACTGACAACCGAGCAACCTGCCGACAGGGTCAGCTCCATCCCAGCATGGCGGCTGCAGCTGAAGCACCGGGGCAAAGAGATCCCGGCAAATGCTTCAGTCAAAGGCGACAAGGAGCACTTGCTTGCCTTCGACCTCTCAAAGGCTCTGCTGCTGCCCAGCGACGTGGTTGGAAGCGACCACGTTCTTGACACCCGGTGTAGACACCCCATTTTTGACCGACCTTAAGACTCAGACATCACCGATTGAGTGCTCGGTGACGTTGCATATCGTGCTCGTTCAGAAGTCTCAGAGTCGCGGCCGCAAGCCCTGCCTCCGGACTTCCGAACCCT